GGCCCCCACCCCTACTTACCAGCATGGAGTCCAGGTACAGCTCCCTGCTGCAGCGGGCAGGGACTGCCCGAATCGTTGAAGCTCTTGAATTCTTTTCCGAAGTGATTTGGAAAGCTTTGAATCAATTTGGATCTTTTTATTGGTCCCATGATTCGATTCAGATTTGGAGATTTGGCCACCGAATCGGGCTGAGTCTCTTCCGAATCAAATCAGCACCTGAAGCTTCGCACAGCCCTACTTTATATGTTTGGGTCCTTATTTGCAGAAAGCATGAGTACTCCCAATCCACAATGAAGTCAATTTTTGCAGCTGGTGCTCGTTACCCTCTAAAAATGGAGAGCTCTAGTGTTTCAAACTGAGCACTTAAGAAAAGGAAGTATCCAGGATCTACTGATCCTTTTTGCACTGTTTGGCTTTAATGGATTTATCTCTATGCTCCATGTGGACAACAAAAGACCTGCTTTACTTCTTGATGAAGAAGAGAATTTTTTGAATTGTAAAGTGATGTAAGGTCTCAAGGAGACACCAAATATCAAACCAAAGCAAAACACTGCCCTGCATATGTGATGACTGAGCTTCTGCGTCAGTGCACAGGTTAGGAAGACTAGCCACCAGATGTGGCTTCTGCATGTTGGTAGGCTATGAGGACTAGCCATCGGATGTGGCTTCTGCATCTGTTTGCAGATGAAGACTAGCCACTAGATCTGACATGTTAGCACTTCACTTAGGAGTGCTAAAATGGGGTTATCAAACTCATTTGGGCTTCTCATTTGAGCCAGATGCAGACTGTGGGGCATTTCACAGGTTGAATGACTCACCTCTGGTGCTTGGGTGAGCAGCAGTGGTGTTAACCCCATAGCTTTTGAAACTGCTGTGTCAGTGTGGCTCCAGAACCCCGGGGGGGTTACCACCACGGCATGCTCCCCCGACACTTTTCCCCCCATCACTGATTCTAGTCACCAAAGACGACCGAACCCTGCCTGATTTTGATGGAAGGTAAGGAGCAGAGGGAAGCGAGTGGTAAAGGTGTTAACCCCTGTGTCCCAGACTTGCACTGATGCAATAGCTCTGGCAGTTATGGTAACAGTTCCTGCCAGCTGCAGTCACCCTGTGAGAAGCCCCCACATCCATGAGTCAGATGTCTGACACTCCTGACTTAGGGTATATTTATGCCACAGTTGGGCACATCTACACATGTACTTTAATGTGCATTAGCTTATTTTAATGCGCATTAAAGCATCAGAAAAAAACACACGTGCTTTCACTAATGCTCATTAAAATAAGCTAATGAGCCTTTTTCTAGTACCTCACAATGGAGGTACTAGATTTAACGTGCATTAGCAAAAGCACATTAATGAATGGGTAGATGTGCCCACAGGCAATATGTCCTGGAAGGGACACTCCCTAACAACTCCTGCTCAACCTGAGCTGAGAACGTGGGGGGGGACACTGCCCCTGTGGTTCCTCTCAAGACCCGGGTGTCCAGTGTGTTTGAAAGTGGCTACAGGGATGATCCTGGAGCAGCTTCACCAGCCTGTTCTTAGGTTTGGAGCATATGAGCAGAAGCAGTGTATACTCACGTGCTGGGACACGCTGTTGTTGTTGTGGTGGGGTAGACACATCCGGCCTGTAGACAGGAAGAGAGCTGGAAACGCTGGTGAAGACAGCAGTACAGAAACCAATATTGAAGTCTGCACCACTCCAATAAAAAAAAGCCAGCTACAGCTGAATGTCATGGTTTCTCTAGAGAAACTGAAGGTAGAAAGCCTCTTTGTGTAAAGAGCCAGAAGCCTTGCATGGTAATTTAGAGCCACTTGACTGGTAAGGTGTAGGAATAACATTATGCATTATACCAGGCTTGCTAATCTAATTCTCTCTTTTACATCAGCCAGGGTTGCCTCAGTCAGCATGGGCCTGGGAGAAGAAACTTTAGCCCGAGAACAAAGGGACGGTGGCCTGTTCACTAGCTACAGCTCGGTTTGACGTGATTGCTACCGTTACGATTCATGGAGGCCTGGGATACTTGCATCTGCGTGCAAGCAGGACAACAGACAGACATGAAAGACCAGATTTCTGGTCTGAGCATGAGCGTGAGCAAACCCAACCTCCTTTAGGGGCCATAAGGGTACATCTACTATACCGTTACAGCAGTGACTGCAGACATACCTCAGGTAATGTTATACCATATTTATTTGATTAGAAGATGAGGTTTCCTCCCCCCTCCATTTAACATAGGGGACAATACCCCTTACCTTACAATCAAGCATGTGGCAGCAGGGGGATGGGAGGGGGCAGGCATATGCTGCAGCTCCAGCCCCAACCCCAGCTCCCACATGCTCCTCCTTACCTTTGCTCCATGGCGGCAGGCTCCATCCCTGCTGCAGTCTGGGGTATGGAGCACAGCTCCGGCCTGGCCCCATAGCAGTGGCATGGAGCCGGCACTGCGGTTTCAGCCCAGCCCCACAGCAACAGCAGCAGGGACCCAGCGCTGCTGTTATGGGGACAGCCTGAAGCCATGCTCTGTGCACCGAGCTGCAGCAGGGATGCAGCCTGCTGGCACAAATCAAAGGTGGGTGGAGGGGGGGAAATGGGAGGAAAGCAAAGACTTCAAAGGGGGATATGGAAGAAAAGGGGGTGGGGACCTGAGGCTGCGGGTGGCAGAAGTGGTATGGAGAAGGGAGAACAAGGGAAGGGGGGAATCAGGGCTACTTGAGGCTGTGGGACACACACACACACACACACACACACACGGGAATAAGTGGTGGGGGGGTAGTGGGGGGGAATGACACATGACACACAGGCAGCAAGGGGCAAGCTGTCTGCCTCTCTCACTGCCTTCCCCTATCACCTGATCCCCACTGTCTGCCCCCCATGACCTGTACCATTACTGCCCCCCTCATCACCTCTCTCCACACAACTTGTAGCAGTGGGGGCAGGGCATGAATTTAAGGTGATTCTCCAATAATTAGAATCCATACATGGAAAATTATTTAAAAAATGATAAATTTTCTGTGTGTAGAATCAAATTATACAGGGATCGTCTTACATGCAGGGTCATCTTGTATTCGAGTGAATACGGTAGGGAGCAGTCGTCATACTAGCAATCACAGCAGTACAGAACTCTGCACGGGCTAATTCGCTCGGCTCCTCAGCAGCCCATGCTCCAGGCCACTGCAGCTGGACTGCTATCAGCACCCAAGCTAAGCAATTTCAAGCCATTTGGTGTAGATCTACACTACGCTGCAGTCAGAGCAATGTAAGCATAAGAGTTTCACACCTAACGCCCTAAGCATGGAACGGAGATGGGCCATTTCAAGAGGCCTATAACTCTACTGAAGTTTATGAATTAGCTTCTGTGAAGCAGATGCCCTAAGACAGTGGTTCTCAAACTTTTTTTTTTGCAGACCACTTGAAAATTGCTGAGGATCTCGGCGGACCACTTAATAAACTTTTTTTTTGTTCTGCAAATCAAAGCACACAACTCATATTTTAATATCGGTAGTCTTATCTTACAAGTACAGATCTTCTCGATTGTGCCACAACCTTTCTGCGGACCACCTGAACGGAGCTTGCGGACCATGGTTTGAGAATATCTGCCCTAAGTGAAGGTTGAAAGCCCTGGTGATCTGAGTCCCAGTCACTTAGGAGGCCACTGCTTATTCCATACTCTGAAAACAGAGAGGCACTTGGGAACGACTTCTTGTTGGAGTTGAGCAATAGACACACCAGGTCTGCCTGGGGCTTTTAAGTTTTGTATCAGGAAAGCTTAACACTGCTGTTCCAAGCAGAGCACCGGGTCTCAAGCAAACGCAGCAGCTCAGCTGATGCTGAATATCTTCAGCAAAGAGGTAATGAGGAGGACAACTGCTGCGAGCAACCTCTGTACAGAGGCAGAGGGAGGGAAAACTCCTCGTGTGACCCTCTGTGGCTACAGAGTCTGCTCACGGTTTGGAAAGTCACTGTTTAGTGACCTTCAGGGCACAGTGCACGAGCCAGCTGTTTGGTTTAGCACAGGGCCAGCTGGTTTGGTCTCACTTGTTTTACGATTTTGTTTTCGGTGATTAATGCAAGCAGCTGCTCTGCAAACACAGCCGACCCCGGAGAAACGGGTCAGATAAACTGGAACAGTAATGGGTCACTAGAAGGTGATTCTGCACTGAGCATGAGCAATGTATTAGCAGCTTCTCAGAAAACATCCCTGAGGGTAGGGTTGTCCAACTGATGGCCCACAGGCTGCATGCAGGCCTCAGGCCCTCCCTGGCTGCAATTCCCCTCGTTAATCCAGCTGCTGCTGCAGCCATGGTCTCCGGCTCTTCCTCCCCAAGGGCGGTATGGGGTGGGGTGGTATGGTGGGCCACGGCATGGTGCAGTTTACAATTCCTGGGGAAGCCCACAGCTGAGGAGGTGAGGGGATCCCTGCCCACAGCGGGAGAGGGCACCCATATGGATCACAGTGGGGTAGGGGGCACCTGCCTACCTGCACAGGTGGTGCAGTGTGGGGAGGAGTGCCTACCCATGCAGTGCCAGGGGAGCTCATGGCCAGGGAGGTGAGGGGGGCCATGGCCACCCACTGGTGCCTTCCCTGCTGGTGCAGCCCCAGCTGCTAAGTTGGACAGCCCTGTCTTAGGGAAACACTTGTGGAAGCCTCTTGCCCCAATATTTACAGCTTCATGGGTGAAGTGGCGGTCTTTCTCTCATTAGTATTTACTCTTCTAGTCCCCTCAGATATGCCCTACACTACCCAATCGCCCTAGCCCCTTTTTTTGGCAGTCATGCTTAAGGAAAAGCACCTTCCGCTATTTTGCAGCAATGAACAAAACGTGGGTGCACTAGCATAATACATTCCTGACTGACACATTTCGAGGCTCGTGGCTGGGCTGCCTATCCCCCCAAAACGTCCTGGCTTTTTTCTCGACAGGGAGAGAGAAGGGATTCTTCGGTCAATGCGAGGCTCTTTGAGCAGATCTGCACTCCTTTCTCTCTCATCTCAGGAAGTTTTCCCTTCTCCTTCATTAAATCTTGCCTCTCTTGTTAAATTTCCAGGAGGTGGAACCTGAGACCCAAAGCCACGGGGAAGCCTGCACAGCCAGAAGTTGTGACCGAGGCACCCACGCCTGAATACAATATGCTTTTAATTTCTTACTTGGTTATTTATTAAAGAGACCCTGCAGCTGCCGCAAGGAGACTTGCTTTCCCTCGCTCTCTCGCTCTCTCTCTGAGCATTTAAGTTGCCTTCATTTACATTTTGTATGCGTTATGCTAGGCTGGCTGCCTTGATAAATATCTTCAAATGACTGCTCCCCGTGCAGGGCTTGTCTTGTTCTTACATGATTGAAAGCAGCCCACACCTTTTCACACACAGAGGAACTGTAGGTGATTGAGAAAGGCAGCTGCAATTTACTCATCTGAAAGTGAAGCTGTAGGGGGGAGAGAGGGGCGAGAGCCTTTCAAAACCTTATGCAAGCAGGAATAGCTTTTCTGGGTCACTCATCAGAAAACTATTCAAGTTACTCAGGGGTATAGAAAATTATCAAAGAGTTTCCAAAAAAAGGCAGATTCAGACATGCTCAGACCAGGCAAGATGCACAGCCAGCTCCTTTGCTGGTAGGAGGTAGTTAGCAGTGCCTGTATTAAAAGAAGAAAACAGCGGGACGGAGCATTTGGGCTAATGCAAGCGCTGTTCTCACTGAGGGCACCAAGTACACATTTGAGCCTGTTACATTTTGCTTTTAAGTCCAGGGCAAACTGTCTTCCTGGTTTAGCCAAGTTACCTCTCATCTGAGCCCAGTCTGCATGCCCCATATGTCCCTTGACCCATATGCCAACCACATCATGTTCATAGACAGTCTATTCCAGACTCTGAGACTCAGCCGGTAAAGAAGTTTTTCTTTATGTCCAGTCTAAAATGGTCTTCCAGCAGTTTGTGAACGTTAGATCTTGTCTTCCCTTGGGATGCCCTGGTGAACAGATGTTCTCCCAGTACCTGATGCAGATTAGAGGCCACTGTGCAGCCAGGTAGACCCTGATTTCCCTCCCAGATCTGGGAGCTGAAGTGCCTCTTCTGTCACCTACTGGCTCAGCATGCAACAAGGCAAGTTCTCCCCTCCCACTCACATCCCTATAGAGCAGCATTTAAGCCAGGGGGGGAGGGATCACAAACACCCTGCATTGGTTTATGGCACACATCTGAAGAACGCACGTGTCTGTGCATGGCGGTGGGGAAGTCCCACAACTTTGCTCTCATCGCAAGTGCTCATAGCATCAGAACTGAGAACCACTGGTCTCCGATATCATATCATGCTAGAGCCCAACAATTAAATAGGCTTGGCAAGGGCTGCCAACAGCATGTGGGGATAGAACACACTGACACATCATTTTTTTCCCCCTACCTGGTGCTTGAAGACAAGCATCATCATTCAGATCATTGTGCTTTAATTAGCCACTTAGAGAACAATTTAGGATTTACAAGGACCCCTGGCCAGTATCTTTGGAGATGGTAACTAATGATCTTGGGAGCCCAAACTGAGATGCTGCAAAAAAAAGAGGTCTGGACCAGTGCTCATGACTCTCTGGAAATCAGGCCCCTTTCCAGGTTTGTCCAGCTGATTGTCCACACTCGCCATTTTGAACATTTTGGTTAGGGTCAAGAGAGCCCAGTATCCCTGCTGCAGACTGCTCTCCTCCTCTCTCAGGAACAGCTCTTATGACAAAAGAGTGAACTGTTATGTTTCCATGTCAGAGATAAGGCACCATGGGCCGTCTTAGACTTCTTCCCACTTCCATCTTTTTTGGGGGGGGACCTCAAGGTTTTTTAAATGTCTCCTGCTGTACCTGCAAACCACCCACAAACCACCAAATGAAAATAGCAACCCCCTGGCCTCACAGATGGCCATCAATTATTTAAAATGCTCCTTCTGCATAAAATCTTCAGAGCGGTGATGTTCAGGAAGATGTGGTACAGTTACTTTGCAGCCTCATGAAAAATTCATTCTTGCTTGGCAAGGAGGGCAGTGAGTCAGGCAAGCAGTTTATTTGCCATTTCCCTGACCTTGATGCAAATGTGCGCTGCCCCAGACTCTTTTTGGTGGGTTGTCGTTCTAAGGTATTGACCAAAGCGTTCTTTGGAGGAGGAGATTTTCCAAGGAGACTAAAGGATTTAGGTGCCCAACTGTCTTACTATGCCTCTTTGAAAATCACAGTCTTGGCGCTTGCAAAAAAAAAATCATCTCCAAGATCAACCTTCTTATTTACTCACTCTCTAAGAACAAGTTTACCTGTGCTGCCTCAACCTCATCCTGGGACTCAGTTTAGCTACAAAATAGTGGCTCCTTGGCTGTGGACAGTGCAGCAAACAGGTACCAAGAGTGATGGGAGTTGTGATGTCTGCTAGAGCTAGTGGACCGAGGTAACAATCAGCTTCCGGGAGGCAGTGAGCTTTTCAATGCCTTTATCTTGAACTGGCCAGATGTTAAATGGGAGAGGGAATGATGGGAGAGGAATGACTGGGAGAAAGGAAAAAGAAAAAATAAAGACAGCTGCTGGAAAGGACTAAGATGCAATACAAGCTGAGCATGGGAAGAGGAAAGGGAAAGAAGGAAGGAAAGAGCTGACAGAGGCAGCGAGCCTGTGTTCAGCTGGGGTCAGTCTCCAGAGTCAGTCAGACACCAGCTGAGGATGTGGCCCATCACGCAATTCATATTGCAGAAAGTTCTCTGTGTTTGAGACTGGTGGTTGTGTGGCTGCTAATGGACACTCTTCCTGTTCCCCAAATGCTCCTTTTTGCCTCCACTCCTGAGCTTTGCTGTAAGGAACCAATAACCAGTGGCTTGTCCACTTTTCCACTTCCCTAATCCACTCCTGCCAGCACAGGGAAGGTTGGTTTCAAAACGCACGGACAGAACAGGGACGGTGAGGGAAGGCTCTGTCTATACCATGTTTTGCCAGACAGTGGCAGGCTAACCCTGTGGTTTTTCTTGCAGCTTATCTTCAGTCTACAAGCATTGCATTGCACTGCACTGGTGGGCACCTTTCACCTGGCTCTGCTCCAGGCTGCTACTTTTCTTCCTGTGGAAAGACCTTGGTGGGCACTTTAAAATGTAATGTGCTACAGTAAAGCCCCTCTCTGCAATACACTTTTCAAGTAGACAAGGTGCTGCAGCACAGCCAAGGCCATGGGATGATGCTTGCCTCTCAGTCTTGACATCATACCTTCCCGTTTGCGTTGGGCTACATATTTTGTGTGTTACACTTACAATAAAAGTTTAGAGGCAAAATGAAAATGGACCCATCCTTGGGCCTGGTTCTTTTATCGTTTCCATCAGTCATGTCACGTCATCCTCTTATACTACATTACTCCAGCTGTAAGCTTGGGAGGCTAAAAACCGATGTCAGATTTCTCTCAGAGGAAGCCTTTTATCCTGGAATACACGTGCACAAGCCCACTGTGCCATGTAAGAGCCTATAAAGTACCGAGATAACACTTTTCCCAGGGACAATCACAGCTAATTCCAGTTAATTGCCATTCAAGATGCATGTGTATAAACAACTGTCCCAGGGCCTGTTTTGATGCGAGTCAAAGCCCAAGACTATCAGCTTTGGGAAAACTCCAGTTATTCTGGGCTGAATTCAAAAGGCACGACAGGGTGGCACCTTCAATACTAACTAGTTCAGAAAGGGTGTCACTTTAGGCACCTAAGGGTATGCCTATACTACTGTAACCACAGCACTGGGTGAACATCCCCATGCCATCACATTAGCTGGATACTGGGTATTAGTAGCTGTCTAATGCTGAGGAGAAGTTGGTCACTACTGGGGCAGTTAGTCCCTGCTGA